TGTTAGATCTCATTTATACCCCAGTCTACAAAAGGACCAACCCTTAATAATATTAGACCAGGTTCGTGACATATTATTGTGTCTTACATTACGAACCCTCAAGTAACTATGGATTAGTGCTTGTGCCCATAATTGAGTAGGGTTTTGGAATAATCTCCAAGCAAGGCTGGCGTGTAAGGCATTATTCTTAGTATAAAGATTTTGAATACCTAGGCCGCCTTGCGCTAAAGGTTTCGTAACTCTAGACCATTGCAAAAGGTGTAACTTTCTCTTTTGAGGAGTAGTGCCCCAAAGAAAATTCCTTTGATATTTATTAAGCGGGGTGATAATTGATGCTGGCAAGGTAATATATTGCATTACGTGTTTGGGTAGATTATTCAAAGTAGAACGTATAAGGGTTTGTCTACCAGCTTTAGTTAAGAAATGAGTTTTCCATTCTGCTAACTTAGATTTAACATTCTCAATTAGGAATTGAAAATCAGCTTTAGTAGGTCTTGAGTCAAAAATAGGGAATCCTAGATACTTACCAAAATGATTACCCTCTCTTATACTGAAAGTATTTTGCAGATCAATCCTCAATTGAGCAGGACAATTCTTGGAGAAAAAAATTCGGGATTTATCAAAATTAATAGTTTGGCCCGAATATTTAGNGCTCTAGACCTTGGAATTCGACTCCGGGCACATGCCCGAGTCCCATATTTTTATACGGACCTTCCGGGACCGTCCAATCTCGAGTCCGGGTCCGTTTACCAAAAATATTGACCGAAGTCAACCTTAAACATATTAATATCAAAGTTCTTCAAATTTTTCACAGAATTCACATATTTCAACATAAAAGCTTTCCGGCTATGTGCCTGGGCTGCGCACACAAATCGAAGGCAAGTAAAAATGAGGTTTTCAAGGCCTGGGAAGCACAGAATGAATGAGGAAACAGGTGATGACCCTTTGGGTCGTCACATATTTTTATTTCCTAAACTAGCACGGAAAAGTAACTTCGACTCTAAATTGTTCGAGAATAAGGAAAAGATTGATAGAATAAATTGAATATAGTAATGATTATCATGTGTTACTAAAAAAATTCTCTCATACTAATACTTCACCATGAATCAATTTACTAAATATTTGGGCCAAACTATTAATTTTGATAAATCCCGAATTTTTTTCTCCAAGAATTGTCCTGCTCAATTGAGGATTGATCTGCAAAATACTTTCAGTATAAGAGAGGGTAATCATTTTGGTAAGTATCTAAGATTCCCTATTTTTGACTCAAGACCTACTAAAGCTGATTCTCAATTCCTAATTGAGAATGTTAAATCTAAGTTAGCAGGATGGAAAACTCATTTCTTAACTAAAGCTGGTAGATAAACCCTTATACGTTCTACTTTGAATAATCTACCCAATCACGTAATGCAATATATTACCTTGCCAGCATCAATTATCACCCTGCTTAATAAATATCAAAGGAATTTCCTTTGGGGCACTACTCCTCAAAAGAGAAAGTTACACCTTTTGCAATGGTCTAGAGTTACGAAACCTTTAGCACAAGGCGGCCTAGGTATTCAAAATCTTTATACTAAGAATAATGCCTTACACGCCAGCCTTGCTTGGAGATTATTCCAAAACCCTACTCAATTATGGGCACAAGTACTAATCCATAGTTACTTGAGGGTTCGTAATGTAAGACACAATAATATGTCACAAACCTGGTCTAATATTATTAAGGGTTGGTCCTTTTGTAGACTGGGGTATAAATGGGATCTAACAAATGGAAATTACGTGAAATTTTGGACGGACCCATGGTTAAATCATAACTCTATGGTACATACCTACATCTACGAACCTCTACCAAGAGGAGACATTAATAAAATTGTATCTGATTATTTTTATCATAAACAATGGCACTTGGAAGATTTGCCTTTTCCGTTACCATCCTCACTAGAAGCTACAATAAGTAATATTTACATACCATTGGTGGGTACTAAATATGATCAAATAGTTTGGGGACTTACTCCAACTGGTTTGTTTTCCGTCAAATCTATTTACCATGCACTTACCCAAACTGATTCTACTCCGACTCACCAAGTTGTTGACTATAGTTGGATTTGGCACCTTCACATACCTCCAAAAATTTCGTTCTTTATATGGTTAATTTGTCATGAAAGGCTTCCCACAACTGTGTATTTGGATAAAATACTTATTATTACTTCTTCATTATGTCCGCAATGTAACTTGGTTCCTGAAACTATAGAACACATTTTCTTTGAGTGTAGCAATGCTATTGCACTTTGGGCAGCACTCCAGATTGACATAAGGCCCTTTACACACTCTACAGCTACTAACAATATTTACAGATGGAACAATTTTATAAGATATCCACAATCTTCCTCAAACAATAGCGTCCCCTTATCTACTACTGTATCCTTTGCACTATGGCAGATTTGGACTGTTCGAAATAAGAATTTTTTTGAACATTCACACCTTCAGATGAACAGTCACTTAGTCTACAATCAAGCTGCCGAATTTTACTATCTTACAAATGCAAAAAAACCCCAGGCCATCATGTTTGCCTCTTTATATTAAATGGTATCCACCTGAGGGACAAGTATTTAAATTAAATATTACAAGATATTTGTGGCATTGGAGGCTATTTTAAAAACTTTCTTGGCAATTGGGTTTTAGGTTTTTCAGGCCATGCGCAACATGGATCCAGCCTTCAAACTGAGACACTAGCACTACTCATGGGCCTTCAATTAGCTGTCCAACAACATCTGTTACCTTTGATCATTGAGACAGATGCAACTGCGCTGCCTTCGGACATTGGAATGCTTGGGAATGAAATCACTCCAACATTCCCTTCTTTGATAACAAATTGATAGTTCACTAATCAATTCTCACATTTATCCAGGTAATCCCGTGGAAAATGAGGGAATTATAATTATTAGATATACCTTTCTATAATCGAATTCTGAACCAGAAAGCTCTTCGTTGTAGGCTTAAGTAAGAATGTAGATACGCGTAGTTGCTGAAATTATTGATCATTTTGAAGTGCAGCCATTTATGTTATAACCATCGTTCTATCTAAGATATAAAGTGGCAACTTAGGACCATAGTTAATGGACAAAACTAATTGTTTGTGAAACCCTCAGCCAAATCTTACCAACATAATAGCGTGTCAAATCTAACTTCCTTGCAATTAACCAAGAGCATGCATGTTTAAGAAAATTGAAGACTGGTTCGTCGTATTATTATGTTCTTGGAGATGGATAAAGAAGGAAATTGTGCTCTGCTCCCTCTCATATCCGCGTCAACCGTTTAACTACAAAGTTCTGAATTTCAAAAAATAAGAAATGCACGAAATTTCTGAGAATTTTAATTATGACAACCTCCTATTAGCAATAAACGATATTATCTTTGTATTAGCGGCTGTGCTGATGTTGCTAATAGGAGGTTGTCATAATTAAAATTCTCAGAAATTTCGTGCATTTCTTATTTTTTGAAATTCAGAACTTTGTAGTTAAACGGTTGACGCGGATATGAGAGGGAGCAGAGCACAATTTCCTTCTTTATCCATCTCCAAGAACATAATAATACGACGAACCAGTCTTCAATTTTCTTAAACATGCCGCTAATACAAAGATAATATCGTTTATCCTCTTTATCAATTGGAGTCGTGAATGCTTAACTTCCTTTGCTTTTACAAGTCAACTGGATATGAGAAAATCCATTTCTTCATCCTGGTTCTAGATTTCATGTGATTGAATAGGTCTAATTTTTATTTATATTTGCTTTTCTTTTTTCGTTATAATTTTGATTTTATTATTTACATCATTTGAATCTTTTTGCTTACACTGTACCATGATGTTTCTATATTTCCTCCGAAGCATAGTCCATTACTTAGCTAATTCGTGTTGTTAGTTTCTTTAGATGAAAGAAAATATTGCTAGGCTTCATTATGCGTCCCTATTGTGCTCTATTGTCGGTTCTTTTGGCAACAGCTTTCAAAATCATAGCCAGACCTAAGTACGTAATCACTATAATGAAAGTTGCCTTCAGATTGTTCATTCAAGTCAGAAACATAAACCTCTATTCTAGTTGAGGATATGACCTGAGCCCCTGGAAATACTAAAAATAGACTACGAAGCATTATTTGTTCTTCGAAATACTCTAATGACCAGCTAAAACATCTCCTTGACCAATCTTCAAACAAGTAACAACTAAAAATTAATGGATAGAAACATCAAATATGTCACTGATTTTGCCCTTATGACACTTCCTAATCCAAGTGGATATTAAAAATTTACATGCTCTTTGTTAAGTTTTATTGAATGGGGCGCTATTAAATAAATTTTGGGCTTCACACTCCACCAATTAAGTGGAAAGCGAGTGGTAACACTCATTCTAATGGCTCATAGCCAGTAATTGAATTTTATGTGACCACACAGTTCCTATGGCGAGAAGAAATCCAAAATAAACGCTTTAACTCGACGAGAAACCTGGTAACTATAGTTGTTCCCGGTGCTAAAAAATGAAATATCGAACAAGCACAAACTTTTTCTAAAAGAAATCAACAAACCAAAAAGATACCCAAAGAAAGATTAAAATACTCAAATTTGCAGCCCAAGCATTCTTAATCGACCACAGACCTATTAAGAGAGTTGTAGTGAGAGGGAAAGAATGAACTCACATGTAGATTTCCACCAGAGAAAGAGAGCTTCAGGCGGAGGAGATGAGAGAAAAGACAGAAAGCCTAGGATTATGTTACGTTTTCGTATTATTATAAAAAATGATGACAGGTGTCTGCTTGCGTAAATGTTGTGGGTCCCATGGTGCTGCTACCTTTTCAACTCTAACTTGGCCCTTGGTTTTACTGTTATTTACACTAAGTGAGAGAAAGGTGAAATTTCCGAAGTGCTCCTACTGATGCATAATATTTAGTCTTAATGATTCATTATATTAAGTAGAAATAGCACTGGGTCAGGAATAAATGCACCATTTAATACCTTAGCAGATTGGGCTAAAGAAGCCAATGCCCCTAATGCTTCTTGTTGGATCGTTTGTTTGCCATTCTGCATTCAAGCAACAAAAAGCTGAGGAAAATATTATCAGTCTCCTGCACTTGTAGGTAGATTTGACATTCTGTTGAACCAGACGATTATGTGAATGACGAGATAGTGACATAACAAAGCAGTCCCAACAAAGCTGATGATCAATCTGTGCATCCAAATAAGTAATTGTTAATCATTTCAATCAAAAAGAATAACAACGAACCTCGCCTCTTAACTCTGCATAGTAAACAGACTGAAGTTGTTGGTTTTGTTAGCAAGTTCTTCATATGAAAATTCCACTGATTTATCTACTGCGATTCTTGGGGGCTCTAGAGAAGTACCCTAATTTGGAGGATCCCCTTCAAAGCTATTTTAATATCTCAGAAAAAGATGTCACATGAGCAGTAAAATAGGGCTAACCTGTTGAGCTGTTTTGCCACACTTAAAAAAGATATTAGAAGAAACTCAAACGGTTTGATTTTGCAGTTTCATGTGTCAACAAATTTTTTGTCTATTTACTAAAATTGTAGAACAACCTAATGGCAAACCAACCATTAACCGATGAAGTTGAAGACGATTCTTCTACTGGAGTAAAGGAAAGATGATACAGAGAACAAGGATAGACAGAGAGAAGATGAAGATGGTGACAGGTGTTGGGGAGGGTAAACATTGATTTACCAAGAAGGCCCTAAAAGAAATTCTGAAAGGTGCTCATCCTCTTCCTCACTCTGTTTTTCGCAGGTCGATTTTTCTTTTCGCGGCTGCTGGGTGATTCATTTTTTCCTCCTCCTGCCGTTCTCCGTGTTGGCATTGCTGAAACATAAAATTATGAGTTCTGCTGAGAGGTGACACTTGCTTTTACTGAACTTTCATGTTTGTTGCTGTGTGCTACTCTGCTAACAAGTTCGACTTGGTTCTTTTAGCTAACTTTCTGTTTCATCTTGATAAATCTTATGGCTCTACTTGGCTTATTAAATGACATATAACAAACTACATATATTTAATTAAATTGTTAGTTAAAGCTAACATAGAATTCATGGCACTTCGATGAGATTGTGTTCCGTAATAATACTATAGTCAAGAAATGCAACAATCAACTTTTCACGAATAGTTTTTTCAAACAGTTTCGTTTCGTTCGAAGAGGTAGTCTAACCAATGGAACAATATTAGATCGGNAGGTACCTCTACTCAGGCGCCCTATCAGTGAGGCGGGAGGACTACGGAGACTTCGAGGTAGATCTGCTGCGTCCGCGGACCGACGAGTCTCCCTCTTATTCTATCTTTAGTACCTAGTTTTTCCTTCTTTCAGTTGTTAGAAATTCTGGAGTTGGGAACCTTTACTATACACTTCTGTAGCCTGTGTTGCCCGTGAGTTTTCGGGTTTTGGGAATTATTTTAGACTTGTGATATTGAGTTGTACTTGCCAAGCGTCAATCAATACAGTTTCTTTTAGATATTTGATTTGACTTTTCTCTATTTTTCCGCAATTAATATACTTCCGCAAATGTTAGGCTTACCTGGTCATGGGGACCAGGTGCCGTCATGACATGTTCACGGTTGGTGAACTAGGGTCGTGACACTATGACTTTAAAATTAACTAAATTTTACTTATTAAATACTTCCTTATTCGAACTATGTAAAAGCTCCTAATATTTAGGAATCTAAAATTGAATAGGATTTTACTTAAAAAATTTCTTATTTAAATTGTATAACTATTTTCCTTAAATCTGACTTTTCCACGTGTCTAAGTTGTTGGCATTTTCATGTTTCCTTAAGTCTGACTTTTCCACGTTAGGAATGGTAGTGTAATGAAAATATTTTTCCAATTTTTTTCTTAGTTTTAATTTTATAGAGCTAAACACCTAAGAATTATTAAGCATGTTTTCAAATTCTAAATTTTGTATATTTTTTGGACCGTGTGAGTAGTGTTAATTCTAATTTTTCACATATGCATAAAGAGTGCTAGCGAAATATCGTTCGCCTTTTTTACCCTTTAAAAGTAGAATTTACACTGGATAAAATAGTCATTTAATTAATTTTCTAATATGTAGGAATATGCATTTAATTATTTTCCTAATAATTAGCACTTTGAGTTTTTAATGTTATCATTTAATTATTTTCCTAAAATTTAGTACTTTGAAATCAACTAAAATATTAGTACTTATTAAATATTTCCTTATTTTAACTAGAATTATTTTTCTTCAATTATATTTGAACTCCTTTCCTTGTGTGTATGGACGTACAATATTAATTTGAGATATGATTGTCACTATAAATTTGTGAATTAATTTTTATTTAAATTAAGGGTTTTACCACATAAAAATATTTTTCCCCTAAGACTCTTACTGTTGTGTATATTTGAAGAGTAGTTAGCGTAAAATATAAATATGATAAAGAAACTTAAAAATGCAAATCTTAGATGCTTTGAAGTGCATTATGCATTTATAATTACCTCCAAGATCATCAAACAAAGTTAATAACCATTCATATATTATAGAACAATACTATTAAATATTTAGCTTAGGGACTTGGTTTACCGCAGTTTAAAGCAATTTAGTTATAACTTTATTTCTTTGACAAATGTAAATTTTATTTTTCAAAGCAATTTTATTTTTCTTTTGTAAATTTTTAAATATTTAGAACTTTAAAATCAGCTAAAAGTTTGGCTGTTTATTTTTTACTTATTTGAATCTTGCAAGAACTCCTAATATTTAGGAATTTAAATGAAGTGAGATTTTATTATATTTTGCTTCCTTATTTAAATTGTGTAAAGCAACTATATAAAGTATTATTTTTCCAAAGAGAATCTCATAATGAATAAATTTCTAAAAGGAGGATTCCAAAATTTTTGCTCGTGTATTTTTCTACTCTATTAACTTTTACAAGAACTTATAAAGCTTCTTTATACTTCTTTTGCAAGCATCTCCTTCAATTGTGGACATTACAGTTTGAAGTATGTTTGGCTAAGTACTTGGTAATGGGAAATATTCAAAGAAGCACGTCGACTTTAGAGGTTTTATCCCGATGAATGAAGCCGTTTTGATTTCAGTAATTTATTTTCTTATTTTAATATTTGTAAATTTTATCTTCCTTTAATAATTTCATACTTGAATTTACCGCATACCACGATATAAAGTATTATGGGCATACCTCAGGAATTTCGCAAAGTGCAAGCTACATTGATCTCTCCCCAAGTATCAAGGTATCTTATCTACAAGTAGTATACTTAATAAACTCAATAGTATTTGTTTGGTATTCCTACGGTTATCAAAAACTTATTTTCTTTGATCCTTCGGTGCTATTAAGATTGCGCCTTTCTATTTGTTAACAAGAGATATAATTTCCTAATGTGACTTAATTTTTCTTAAATACTTTTGTCTCTTCTATTTTTGCTTGCTTATGTTTTTCGTTTTTTTTTTATGTTGTTTGGTATTTAGTGGCCGAGTCACACTCAAATGAATGAAAATTTTGAAAATTAAAATTAATGCGCAAATAGGGAAAAATATTTCTTTCCTATGTATAAGCTTTTGATTTTCATCTACTTTTACAAGTTTGAAATTTTTGTGAAACACTATTTATAATATAATATGTATGTAATAGTTTAAGAAAATATATATATATTGAGATAGGGTACACGCGCAACGCGCGTACCCTAAGACTAGTATAACAAAAAATATGCATTCATAGATTATCATTGTGTTTGATAGTCGGTCCCGGCTCTATCTCAAGTAGCACTTGTTAAAAAGAATACTAAAATCTTGAAGTATTACAATTTTAATTAATGCTATGGGTTGAGCTTTTTCTTTAACCCCGTAAGTTTTATAACTTAGTTCTTAAAGTTATTCTATACATTTGTGTTTCTGCCCAACTAGTTGGTTTATTCAAGTTAAAAATATAGAATAAAAAATCAAAGACGCATATGGTTAGTAAATTGCTAAATTGTTTCATATATAAGTTTTTGTTCTGATTTACATGTTAATATTCCTTTCAGTAGCTACATTCTTTATATCCTTATAGTAAGATTCTCTTTTCTCACCTCCTTATCATTTCTTTCAATAAAAAATGTGAATGACTTGTACTATTTAATTTGGAGTCTGATTATCCTGTTTTGTTTCTACATTAAATAGGAATATGGATAATTTAGAGCGTGCTTAGATGTACGAGAGGTTGGATGGCCGAGGGGGTATTAATTCTAATTTTATAACTGGTGTGGATAGCTTTCTCCTGTTTGCACGTTCTCAGCGAAATCGCATGAGTGGTGAGAATGTTCGATGTCCGTGTAAAAACTGTCGCAACATTATATACATGGATGTTGAAATAGTTAGATTTCACCTTTTTAAGTTTGGATTTGTTGAAAACTATTTTGCTTGGAAGTATCAAGGGGAAAAAGATGTGACTGGTGTGACGTCTTCTAGCAGTGATCTACATGGTGGTGTTCAACCTGCATTAGGATATGACAATCCATACCGACAAATGATTTTAGATGCAGCTGGACCCAACATTGGCCAGGGTTCTAGTTGGCAATCTTATAGTAATACTGAATTTGAGTCGTCTCATCATTTTGAACCTTCAATGGAGGACGAGGCTAATCCTACAATTAAGGAGGATCCTAATCCTGAGTCTCAAAGGTTTTATGATTTGCTAAAGGCCGCTGATACAGAATTGTATCCCGGTTCTTCCCTCTCTCAACTCGCAGTAGTTTCTAGGATGTTAAACATTAAAATGGAGAACACTTTATCGCAAATGGTATATGACTAAATGATGCAATTGCTGAAAGAGGCTTTACCTGAAGATAACATAATGCTTGAAAGTTATTATCAAACCAAGAAGCTAGTGCATAGCTTGGGTTTGCCGGTTGAAAAGATTGATTGTTGTAATTCAGGATGTATGTTGTATTGGGGTGATGATGAATACCTCACATCTTGCAAGTTTTGTGGCTACGAGAGGTTTAAACGTTGCTTTGGTTCTCGTAAGAGGAAATTAGTCCCTTATAAAAAGATGTATTATTTTCCTTTGATTCCTAGATTGCGAAGATTATATGCATCTCATGCTACAGTCAGTGACATGAGATGGCATCATGAGCATATACAAGAGGAGGGGGTAATGCGTCATCCATCAGACTCTGAGGCTTGAAAGCACTTCAATGAAACTCATTCATTTTTCACTGCTGAACCAAGGAATGTAAGGCTGGGGGTATGTACTGATGGTTTCCAACCATTTTGTCAATCAGGAAGAAAATACTCTTCGTGGTTAGTGATTGTCAATCCATGCAACTTACCTCCTTGGATGTGTATGAAAGAGGCGTACATGTTGTTAACTGTCATTGTTCCAGTGCCAACCAATCCTAAACAAAAAATTGATGTTTTTCTACAACCTCTAATAAAAGAATTGAC